AGGATGATTAGAATGAGAATTCCTGACTGCATTTTTCCTCATGGCTTGCTCATCTCTTATTACTAGGTATCATTACAATGTTGCTGATGCGAGGTTGGCACAGCATGTGGAGAGAGGGATTGCAGATGGTCTGCTTATAAGTTGTGTGTCATCTTGTTCTAATCTCTGGGCACTTATTATGGACGCTGGAACCAATTTTACTAACCAAGTTTATGAGCTCTCCCCCTTCTTCTTGCACAAGGTGGATTTGTATTTCCATGCGTGTTTATATTCATATAAGATATTATTCTCAAAAAATTGACAGACTTGTTCCAATTGGACAGGAATGGATCATGGAACAATGGGAGAAGAACTATTACATTAGTTCTATTGCCGGTGCTAATAATGGAAGTTCCCTTGTGGTGATGTCCAAAGGTATGCTGCTTTAGTGATTATTTGGGGCATGATCTGTGAAGTTTAATTGTGTCAATTAATAAAGCTGCATGATGCATTTGTGTTTGTATCTGACACTACTGTATTTGTATTGGACATTCATGTTTTGAGTCTCTTGACAGAGGTTTTTTTATTAAATATCGATAACGAGTCATGTTTTCTTCTTATGAAGGGGATCTTGTTGTTTTGTAATCTGAAATTAGTAGACAGCATTTGTACTTGCAAATTTGAAAATCCACATCAATTTAATTCATTTTCATCACTAAATTATTCAACTGTGACCCTAATGGTGCAGGAACTCAGTATACGCAACAGTCTTACAAAGTAAGTGATTCTTTCCCCTTCAAGTGGATAAATAAGAAGTGGAGAGAAGGATTTCATGTGACCTCAATGGCAACTGCTGGGAGCCGGTGGGGTGTTGTTATGTCTCGCAATGCAGGCTTCAGTGATCAGGTGAGCTGTGGCCGTCTTGTTAGCAGTATCTTCTGTTCGCTGTGGGGTTTAGGCCATTTATGGAGCATCCAACTTTTTGACCCGAGTTTAAAACAAGTGGATCCTGGTTATGGCAAAGAGATATGCACTTCATACATGTATTAATTGCGATCAGTAGCATTTCATGAAAGCTAACATGTGACTTTGCCATTTTGTTTTTGTAGGTTGTGGAACTTGATTTTCTCTATCCGAGTGAAGGCATCCACAGACGTTGGGATGGTGGTTTCCGCATAACATCAACAGCTGCAACTTGGGACCAAGCAGCTCTTATCTTGAGTGTTCCGAAGCGCAAACCTGGTGACGAAACTCAGGAGACGTTGCGTACATCTCAATTTCCAAGCACACATGTGAAGGTATGAAATAATAGTTCAATTTGGTTTAAATTTATCTTTTCTAGTCACATAATAATAGTAGATTATTGACATCCTCGCTAAATTCTGGTCTTCTTATGAACAGGAAAAATGGGCAAAGAATCTGTATCTCGCTTGTTTGTGTTACGGGCGCACTGTATCTTGATTCCTGTGTAACTCTCAGGAATTGGTAAGTCGATATTTGTAGACGACTTGGTTTTTCTTTTTCTCCCTCGCGGGGTCAATATATTTGGAAGAAGAATTTGTTGTACGAGAGGAGTTAGCTGCAGTTGCGCAGTTTCTGTGTACGATAAAATGTTTTATGAGCCGTATAGTTGGCTTTTATTTCAGAGTTTGTCTTTGAAGTTAATTATGTAGTGCTTTTTCTCTCGTTTGTTCTTTCTCCTGTTACAATGCAAGATGCGCATCTCTTTGCTTCTCCAAACCATGATTCATATCGTGCACGTAGGACCTATTGCTGTGATTAGGGCTCGTCATGGTTCGGTTTAGGCCTTAAACTGCACATGGATCTGTTTTAACTCAACGGCCTCGATTGTTTTGGTTGAGACCTCAATCAGGTGGCAAAACTTGAGAAAGGGATCCTATTCAGCTCCCAGTTTGTCACTTTTGTTTCAACTCGTAAGCTGCACAACGAACTAATATAACATTGCGGGCGCCTTGGATCGCTCTGGTTTAGAACTCAAGCCGCTAGCGTGATTAATCCGAGCAAATCAAACTTCGTGACCGGTTTGATTTTGTTGTTTCAGTTCAGAATCAATTGAATACCATCTACAATAATAAGGGCGACTGTACCAAATTGCATAAACTATTAAGAGTATTGAGTGAATGAATTAGATAACGAAGCTTTGAGAGAGAGCAATTGGGTATAGACTGGAGCAAGAGAGATGGAGATTGATGGAACGGTATAGAAATATGCAAAAAGATTTGCACATGATCATTACAAACATGGAAAAAGCGTATGATGGGGTCCTAAGATAAATTCTTTGGAGAATTCTCAAGAAGAAAGGAGTATGAGTAGAGAGTAAATGCATTAACGAGACATATTTAAGATGATATCCCTTGGCTTACGCTTTGCAGATAATATAGTGTTAATAGATGAAATACATGAGGGAGTAAATGGGAAGCTTAACCTTTGGCGGGAAGTATTTGGGATCTAAAAGTCTTTGTCCAAGTAGGTTGAAAATAGTATACATAGTAGTTTTAATAGAATATTAAAGCTGAAATCTGAAAAATAAATGAACAAAAGTTGTAATAGGTCCCAAAATTAAAATTGGGTGGAGAAGGTGAAAGCAAGTAGATTTTTATGACGATGGCGGATGGTCTTGAAACCATGATGGTTAGCCCATGCTTTTTTTTTTTTTTAATATTTTTTTTAAAGAAAATTGCAATTTTTTTTTTCACAAAATATTTTTATTCATGATTAAAAGTAACTTTATAAGACAATTGAAAGTGGTTTTATCATTCATTGAGCAACAAATGCATTTTTGATATAATATTCAAGCCAAAACTGCAAAATAATGGATAAAATTTTTAATAGAGCCTAAAACATTACCGAAACGAGACTCCTTGCAAAAGAATGTCAACAAAAAATCTTAAATTAATTTTAAAACTTCATGGTGCGGAAGGTGAAAGAAAGCAGATTTTACGGCCATTTTTTTACAAATTTGCCTAGAAACCATGATGGTTAGCCCACGTTTTTTTTTTTTTTTGAGAAAAATGCAAATTTTTTATTTTTACAAAATATTTTTCGTCATGGATAAGTGTAACTTTATAAGGCAATTGAAAACAGTTTTACCATTTATTGAGTTGGAAATGTCTTTAATAGAATATTTAAGCAAAAACTTAAAAATAAGTGGATAAAAACTATAGTGGGGTTTAAAACATTGCCGAAACGGGACCCTATCTGCAAAAATATCAACAAAAAGTCTTACATGAATTTTCAAAACCTCACTGTGCGGTTAAGGTGAAATCAAATAGATTTTATGACGATTGTTGTACAAATTTGCAAAATAGCTTAGAAATCGTGATGTAACACACCAACATTTTTTTTTTGAGAAAAATGCAAACTTTTTATTTTTGCAAAATACTTTCCATCATGATCAAAAGTAACTATATAAGGCAATTGAAAACGATTTTACCATTTATTGAGCCAAAAATGTATATTTAATAGAATATTTAAGCCGAAAACTAGAAAATAAAATGACAAAAGCTGTAGTGGGGCCCAAAGCATTGCCAAAGCAGGACATCCACAAGAATATTAACAAAAAGTCTTACATAAATTTTTAAAACCTCACAGAAGCAAGTATATTTTACGATGATTTTTGTACAAATTGCAAAATCAGCTAACTATTTTCCGTCATGATCAAGAGTATTTTTATAAGGCAATTAAAAGCTGTTTTACCATTTATTCAGCTTCAAATGTATTTTTAATATAATATTTAAGTAGCAAACTGACAAACAAATTGACAAAAATTGTAGTGGGATCCAAAACATTGCTAAAGTGGGACTCCATCCACAAGAATATCAACAAAAGTCTCACGTAAATTTTCAAAACCTCATGGTGCGTTGTAGGTTAAATCAAACAGATTTTATGACGATTTTGTACAAATTTGCAAAATCACTTAGAAACCGTGATGGTTAGCTAACATTATTTTGAATTTTTTATTTATGCAAACTATTTTCCGTTAGGATTAAGAGTAACTTTATAAGGTAATTGAAAATGGTTTTACCATTTATTGAATCACATATGTATTTTTAATAGGACATTTAAGCCGCAAACTGAAAAATAAATTGATACAAATTGTAGTGGGGCCAAAGCATTGCTGAAGTGGGACTCCTTCCAAATTAGTATCAATAAAAAGTCTTACATAAATTTTCAAAATCTCATGGAGCGGTGAAGGTGAAAGCAAGTAGATTTTATGATGACTCTTGTACAAATTTGCAAAATCGCCTAGAAACCGTGATGGTGAGCCCATAACTTTTTTTTTTATTTTTTTTTTGAGAAAAATACAAAATTTTTAATTTACAAAAATATTTTCTGTCATGATTAAGAGTAACTTTGTAATGAAATTGAAAGCAATTTTACCATTTATTAAGCCACAAACGTATTTTAATAGAATATTTAAACCGAAAACATAAAAATAAGTGGACAAAAACTGGAGTGGGGCCTAAAACATTACCAAAATGGGACTCAATCCACAAGAATATCAACAAAAAGTCTTTACATGAATTCAAAACCTCACAATGAGGTGAAGGTGAAATCAAATACATTTACCATTGAAGATGAAGAATTTGAGAGCAAGAAATATAGGCTTGGTTTGGGGGTTTTCAAACAGGGCTAACCCGAACATAACCAATTGTCGTTTGGTTTCATTTGGTTAAAATTACACTCTTTCAGCGTACAAAACTAGATTTGACTGCTCAAATTGGTTTGGTTTAGCTGATTTGAACAATTTGGTCGCTTGTTAACTTGTATCGAGCGCGGTGCATGTAGATTTAGATTATTAAGTGATATTTTGTTTCCTAAATTCTGATGAATTAAATCGAATCTTGTAAATTAACCTCCTCAAGAACATCATAAAAGATGGAAATAAAAATCTTGTAAAACTTGAAAGAAAGGAGAAAAAGAAAGAAATATAATATCTAGGAAGGGAGGGACCAAAATAGAAAGACGACTGAAAGAGGTCGATGTAGGGTCCCACCCAGTCGCACTGGAGAAGAAGATGATAAATAAGAGTATCCTGCTATGACACATGGACACACCAGAGAGACAGAGAGAGAGGATGATGGCTTCTTCTTCTTCCTCTCATCTCTCAGCCATCCCACTTCGCTTCTCCAAATCCTCCTCTCCATGCCACTGTAAGCTCTCTCTCTCTCTCTCTCTCTCTCTCTCTCTCTCTCTAAAACTTTGAGTGCCCATTAACGAACTTGTTGAAAGCTGCCAGTTTCTCGTAATTTCCATGCATATGGTAATTCCAAGTAGCTTTCATTATTTTGCCTTATCTCTTTCTTCATAGTATTTACGAGTTCCTGCTTCCTTTGTTTCTCGCTATGCGTATATTAACTGCTTTATTAACTGTCATCACAGTCACTTAACTCATAGTTTTCCTTTACCAAATTTAATTGCTAACTACTTGGTTTTGCTTTGTCTCTAATGCCTGCGTATTCATTTTTGCGTGTATAAGCTTAATTACGGGAAAATTTGAAAGAACAAGGAAAACCAAATTACATGATGTTCATAGAATTTTGATGAAGTAAAGTTATGATGGGGTTTTTCTGTTCTTTGTTGTTTTTTTGTTCAAAAGTTTCGAAATTGGTCTTAATCTGAGTAGGGGTTTACTGCTTGGCTATTTGTATCGATTTTCCGAGTGAAGAGATTTTACATGGGATTTGTTTTCCTTTCTGGCACTAAAGATTTGAGAAATTGAATTTCTGTGACAAAAATTAATGTAATATCATGAAATCATAAATCTTTACTTCCACTCAGAATGCAGTGGGAGATCCTTTTTAACTCTAGAACCCAATATCCGCTGATAGTATTTGCCTTTTCATAAAAGAAGGAAGACAAGATGGATTCAGACTTCTGAGTACTCGGATTGTGCTTTTGGAGTTGTAGCCAGTGAACATTTTGATTCTTAACTCTCATCCCGTAATGCAGCACCCAACTGTTATGAAAATTAGATTGATGTCTTTGAATCTTTTGTCACTAATTGGTGAAGGGAAATGATTTTAACTTTCATTTGTATGTCCAAAACTTGGCAGTCAACTCAAAGTCTCTTGGGTTTCATGTAAGAGCGAATCTTGAGAATGAGAGCAGCAGTCCAGGGGACTCAGAACACTCATCTCAACCATCGAAGGTAAGGATCTTTCGTTAGATTTAAGTATCTAGTTGATTATTAGTGATTACAATAGTTTATTTGACTTTGAAGGTACGCATGATTCAAAGAAATTATGGCCACTGTTTATGGCTTCAAAGTGCGGCTAGAACTGAATTCATGCTCTTAATGGTTCTACTTTAAGTTAACGTTTCTAGTATTTTGTTGAAGGCAGTCTTTCCCATGATTTCCTCCGCTGCGAAACGGCCTCAATTTTGCTTGATATATTAGTTTTCTGAGAAATCAACTTGTGTAGATTACTGTTGCCAATTGGAACTTTTGAAACAAATTTATCATTCTTATCAGATTAGCTCTATTGTATGGTAAAATTTGATACTCAATGATTTTTTTCATCAATAAGATAAAGTTACAAAGGTTCAGTGACCACAGGAACCTCAAGTCTCAATCTCTCGGCGACTGTGTCTCACATGTCTATGTTCAACTGCTGCTTTGATAAGCAATTCTGCAACCACTTCTGCTCCAAAGGCACTTGCACTGGATGGAAGCGATAGACCTGGTTGCCGGAATTGTGGGGGAAGTGGTGCTGTGCTTTGTAAGTATAATTTTTCATCTAGGATTTCTGCCCCCAAAATTCTTTTGTACAGATGAATGTGCAGATAATGTTGGTCCCGAGGTTCAGCTAGAAAATCAACTTCAACGTTCAAATTTGTTTCCAAACTGTTTAAAATAGTGATTTTCTTTGTTTTTCTACGAGTTCTTATATTCTTTTGGAAATTATGAGTTCCTATATTCTTTGGTCTTTGTGTTGGCTCTTAAATTTTTTTGAACAATGTCGAGTTGATATTTTTGCTCGTTAGAGGAGAAACAGATTTGCTTCTACCTCTTATATATTAGCTGTATTATGTTAGAGAGTTCAGATGTAGATGTTTTATCGGAGCATAAAGAATTCATGAATGCTACTTGGGTTTCGGTTTTCATGGAAATTAGTGTTTCTGTTACTTATGGTATCCCCTTCATCCGCGAGACGTTAATTTGCTTTTCATTCAGGTGATATGTGTGGTGGTACAGGAAAATGGAAAGCTCTTAACAGAAAACGGGCCAAGGATGTGTACGAGTTTACGGAATGTCCAAACTGTTACGGTATGTCACTCATCACCGATACTCATATTCTGTTTCAGCATATACTCCAAGATTGTTTCATGCTTACTATTTTTTGTTTCAATATTTCAAACTGGTTAAGCGTTTCCTTGAAGGCAAAAGTTCCACTTGGATTGTGTAAAAAGCCAGTATACAGTTGTAGAACTAAAAAACACTGTATGGTTAATGCATTTTCTTCGAGAAGTAATTCTCTGTTGCTGTAAACAGGACGTGGGAAACTCGTATGTCCGGTTTGTTTAGGGACCGGTGTACCGAACAACAAAGGTCTTCTCCGGAGGCCTGATGCACGACAGTTACTCGATAAGATGTACAACGGCCGGCTACTGCCAAATTCATAACAGAATCGTTCTGCATCAATGTGACCTCCCCACAAGAGAGTTGATTTCCGGCATTGTGACCGTTCGATTTTCGTGTACAATCATTTTAGAAGCGTTATAAAGCTAAAGATGTATGTAAACCATATATATAGCCATCCTTCCGCTATGTCGTAGCAGAGCTCCCATTTGCACACTATTTCCGCTTAATGGATGTCGATTTTATTACATCTCAATATATATTTTCGGTTTTAACAGAGCCTGTAGCTACGGACTGTTGTTCTGCAGACATTTTCTTCTCTCTTCACGCAGCGAAACAAAAAAGAAGTTTACGGACATAAGAAGCATTGTATAACATCAACCGACGAACAGTTTGCGTGCGTTTGTTCGTATACAAAGCTTACATGCATTGAAACTGTTCAACAAATGGTATGTGAAACGCATCAAAATCACGTAAAGGAATAAGAAAAAAGAAAGACAAACAGAGATTTCCACTCGAATTGCTTCCTAGAAGACTAAACTGCTCGCGCAGGCCGCAATAGTTTCTCGAGCAAAAATGTAAAGGGCGCGCAGTCCCCAGTCTACTCTTCCGTTATTAAACTGACCTGAACGAAAGAGGAAATCATTTCCTGCAAAAAAGTAAATAGATTACTGCAGATATCGCTTCATCTTCCAACAAATAAACTCGAACACTTGGGATTGACCTTTGCAAAAGACAGTTAAAAGGCCTTCTCGCAAGGCCATTTGCCTACTTGGTACGGAAAAATGAGATGCGCAGAATCAGGGCTGAGTGTTCGGAAGCTTGACAAGTACAGAATGCTCCGGTTTGTGATCACATTCGAAGTCAAGATGAACAAATGCTCGCTCAACGTCTGGAAGTTTCTCAAGCTTTATCTGGAGGGTCTCTCCAATGGCATGTGCCTCTTTCAAGGGCAACTCCTCCGGGAGTTCAATGTCAACCTGTTTTAACAAATATAAAATTTCTAATTAAACTAAAAAACAAAATATAAAATTTCACAATCTATTTCTTGATATAGAATGCAATATGCAGATGATACGGTTTAACTCCGTGATTTTGAAAGGTTTGAGACAAGTTTTCTGTCATGAAAATATAAGAACGAAATTGCCCGTAATATGACTAACCTCTACAAAATAAAGAACACCAAATGTGTAAGCACGAACTGTGTCAATACGCTTCACTTGAGGGTGCATTATGGTAATGTATGTCAGTTTTTGTAAGAATTCCGGAGGCGCTGATTGTCCCACGAGGGAAACTGCATGATGTCAATCCCATGTTAAGCACAAAACATTATGAACATTTTCAAATGTCTACTGTCAAGCATGAATTCAACTCATTTTAATAAGATACTGTCATGAACACTCAAGAAAACAGAAGAAAATTTTGTAAATTGATAACATGAAACAGATGATTTAAACGATTCTGATCCTATTTAAAATTCTTGTGTTTCATACGTGCTTATTTAACATTATAAGCGGAAAACCCAGCTGATACCATGACCATTAGTCACGTGAGGTTTATGTGAGATCAAAGGGCAAGGAAGAAAAGCTGGAAAAAGTACCTGCATTTTCTAGAACAGTTCCGGACCAATTTGTAATCGTGTATATAGCAAGGATAATAGCACCAGTAGGATCAATCCACCACATAAACTTATCAGCAAGAACAGCAGCCACTAATCCTACTACGTTCGTTACCACATCAAAATAGTGATCCTGGTAATTGCATTCAAGGAAGTCATATAACGTGAAAAAATAGAACTGAAATCCCGTAAAAAGAACTTGCTAAAAAGGGAAGAAACAAAAAACCTTTGCGTAAGCACGGACAATCTTGTTCCCTGAGGTCCTGCAGTATAACCAGAGTGCAAGTTTTACCATGGTGGCAAATATCATGATTGCGTACAACCACACCAATTGGTCTGAGGTCATCTTTTCCGTGGCATCACCGGTTATTAGTTGTTCTAAAGCCTGGATCAACACCTGAAAACCTGTAATGAAGCGGAAGTGCATAAAAGTTAAGCCGGTTCGAAGTTTATATATGCAACATAGTCTAGTTTAATTATAAAGTTTTCTGCAAGCCTAATTGCATACCTTTTATGATACCGTTGTGACTCTAAAGTTGGTTCTTTTGAGTACATACATCATGAACACCGGTATACTACCAAGAAATTTTCTAGGACTAAATAGTATTCACCTCAAAACTATTATTTTTCCTGCAGATTAAAGTGTCATTGAGCACACGAAATAATTTTTTCTTCGCGTTACACTCAGAGAAAAAGATATCTAAACCATAAACTTTGACTACAATCCAGTCTTTATAGAAAACCGTCAATCAGATTATAAGAATTCAATGCGTTGCTCCTTGTTTATTTTGCCTAATCCAAATAAGGAACATATGAGCAAGCTCTGAATCATTTCCGGTTCAACTTTAGATTGGATTATTAGATATTTCTCATGATCTTTGATAGCCCCCATTATTGATCTGGACAACAAACAAAGCGAAAATTCGAAATAATGCAGACAATTGGTTCTGACATGTTCTTCAGCAAACAAAATGGAAGCTAAAAGGAAGATATAAAACAAATTCATCTGGCTAAGAAGTTGACAATATAACGCGGGGCAAGGGAGACAGGAAAAAGCAACGGAGGCTGAGGGCAATAAAAGGTATAGTGACATACCGAGTGTAGCCATGATAGCAGCAAAGATGATTATACCGACAGGCTGCACCCTCAATTTTCCGATAGGATATTTATAGATATTGATGTTCTTCATTGACAGGTGAGTGAACCAAAGTATTCCACCGGCCATGAGATCGAGCAAAGAATCTAGAGTCGATGCAGCAATGGCTATCGATCCACTCTTTACAGTAGCATAGATCTACACATTCCAAAATTATTATCTTAGAATTGTAAAATGCAAACATGAAATCGCGGACAAAATGTAATTTGTTTCAAACATATATGGCTTATGCTATCATATAAACAAACGAGATTTTCCTGGCGCAATTTTTAATGCAACTTGTAGCGCAAGTGATTAAGAGCGTTTAATCTTGAACCCGAGGTCTTGTGACAAATTAAGTACCTTAAGTCCCAAGAGAATTATATTGGCATAGTTGGATATCTTCATTGCTCTTTCATGTTGTGCTTGTTCCTGGAGATCGTCCTCGTCGACGCAGTCGGCTGCCACCGCAAAGTCAACCTCCTCAAAGGATTTAAGTGTTGCAAATTGGGCTTCATAGTATTCCTTTTCTCCTACAGTATATATAGACCTTCCAGGATCAATAAATTGCTAGAAACAAACCAAATAAACTCACTCGCACACAAAAACAATTCCAATTACAATTGTAGCTTCAAGAACAAATTGTACTACTCTGTTTGTTTGGCTGCTGAGAAAATGAAGGAAAATAAATCAAACATAATTATCTTAAAACCAAACACCAAACCGGCTCTTGGTTCTTCAGAAATTGAAAGAAAAGCATAAAAAGATAACTCTTTCCCCAACCATTAATATTTTCCAACAGAATAACGAATTTTTCTTTCTACATTTTCCCAGTTGCCAGAGAGAGACCTCGGTTCAAGGCGGAGGTACGAGAGAAGTCAATGTCGTCAGGAGACTCGGGGTCGATACCGGCACGGACCTTGTCAGGGAGCCTCGAAATGAAGTCGTTTCTGAGTGAGTTGTACGAGTTTCTTCGGCTCAGTCGCCGGCTGCGTCCGCCGCTGCCCAACAGCGGCGTTTTCACAACGCCCGTTTCCGATTTTTCCTCCATTCGAATGACCGGAATTATGTAACCCGATTCCGAATCAATCTCTCTGTGTCTGTCTCTCCACTTTTCTCTCTCTGCCTCTGGGTGAGAGAAGAAGGAAGCAGATCTTAAAAGAACAGAGGAGGTGAGCTAACCGTAAATTGAATTTCGCACCAAATATTTATTAATCGATTATCTTATCTTATTCTCTTTATGTCTTGGAAAAGGAAAAATGATCCCATAACGACACGTACGCACGCTTACAACAGTCTTCTGTACTAGGGCCCACCAACCCATCTCTACGGGAGAGGTGTAACACAAGTGTTGGCAAGTTCTATTTTTATTGAAGTGATACAAATATATAGTAAGACTTGAATTACTTGTTTGTGCGGAATACGACGTAACATTTCTACCATCTTTCTAATAGGAAAGAGACCCGCATGTACAGGTAGGTTCTATCTTTATTGAAGAGATTGTACAAATGTGGTATAAGAAATATAGTAAGGGTAGCATTACTGAAACACATATGTATTCTTTCAGAAAACCTCAGCAGTACATGAGAAATTTATTAATGACGAAAAAAAAATGACATTTAGTTAGGAGGACATAAACGTTACCATTCTAGAAACAAAAACAAAAAAAATACAAACAAAAGAGGAGGGACATAAGACCTAACCTTTCTATCGTCAAACCTAAAAGGTCTAAACATGCAAAACAAGCCGAACAACACCACAAAATTAGAAAGTAAAAAAAATCCAAACATATATGCATTGTCCATTAATTTTGATTAAGCAACCAATTTCATAAATATGTAATGATACTCTCTACATTAAGATTTGAGATCCTCAACAAAATTAGAAACCATGAACAAACTGGCAGTTTTAAATTATTATCGATCCCTTTATTTAATACAGTTTAATGATTAAATAATCTCTCGTTGATTGCTATCGACATAGATGATCTTCAAATACCAAACCAGAAAATGAAATGTTTTGACTACAACATATGGACGACATTCCAATAATAGGAAACAAATTAGGGCAACTCGATCTGTTTGGTCGCATGGCATGCCAACTGCTATTTAGAGGCAACAACTGATAAGTTTTATTATTCAATATATGGGTTTCTTTGTTTAATTATAAATTTGATGAATAAATTAGCAAGAAATGATCAACCTGATGTGGTTCAAATATTTTTTATTTAAAGGCTAATAATGTGTTTATGTCAACGGCTGAGAGACAGATTCAAATTATAAAATATAAGGTCAAATAATGCTTTACATGGACACAAAGAAACGTTAACACGACTTTTTTAAAAGTAGAACTCTTCGTAGACTCTTTGTTATCTCATACTTTTAACATAATATTTTATAATATTAGCACGAAAATTAACGTTAAACTGCTAAAATGACAGCGAATTTATAAAAAATCTCACTTTTAAAATAATTCTCTTTTAACTCTTAGCGCTCATGTCTATAGATTAAGTTTCCGTTTCTAACTTTGATACACTGGATATATAAGGGCCTTGAATCGTGAAGCCCCATATCTGATGGGTTAAGTGATGGCATGAAAACAATAATGATAAAGTACAACTACCTCTACCTCATGTAAAAGAAGGCATGGAAGAACGGAAGGAAAGTTATATCAGTTGTAGGATGGGCTGGTTCCCGACGATAACAGAGAATTAACAGAAATATTGTTTTTGGGTTTAAATCCTAATGGATTTCATTACAAAAACTTAAATCCGAATTTTTTTATGACGATGACTACCTTCCAACTATCGGATTACCACATGAACCATTTATCTAATTAGGCCAATTTATTAATATGAAATTCTCAAGATTTATTCATGATCCATTACATATATTAAATTCTAATCACGTACTGTAATTAGAATTCTGGATTTTGCTGGATATATACTACATCTGAGATTCCTGCACTCGTACTAGTGGATTAAAATATTTCAATATGCATAGTGCTTAAGTAGAGGAATTATATCCCTACATTTATGTACGCACGGTGGTCGCAATTTTGCCATTTGCTCCTAGAGGGAAAAACCCGCCAGGCATTGTTGCATTTCCAGTTCCATACACGATCCCCAAAATCTCAGCTGGTGTCCTTGCATACGAAAGAGAGTTAGGATCGGCCGATAGGACGTTACTAGACGTCCGATTCTCCGCCCCGAGGATGGTGGGTACTATGAGCCCTTCATCTTTGTTGCCACTCCCGCCCAGCCGATTCCTAAGTGCAGAAATTTGGTTGGTGAACTCAGCCACCGTGAGGATGTAAGGAAACACCTTCTGATTCCTTATCTCATACAGTAGCGCACGTACCACAGCATCTTGCCCAGCCTCAACACCCAAAAGTGATGCAACCAACTACATATATATGCACACCAACAATTTAATTAGTATTGATGAATTGATTTTCATTAATGTTGAAAACCAATAACTTATTACTTAACATCCTTGTGGCTAGATCGGTTAATGTCGATCTTAGTCCAAATTGAACATTTTATGCAAATTTTGTGTAATTTTGTTATAGAGTTATGTTTGAAGCCATAAAAGTTTGTTACTTCAGTTTAGCCAAGTTAGCAAGAATATTGTGCTCCACTCTCTGTACACAAGTCCCCTTTAATATTATAGATTAGTTTAATATACTTCTCTTCTCGTTTGAGAAGCCATAGAAGCTTATTTGACCCTTAGAATGAGACTTCTTCCCACATAACATCTTGTTCTAATTTGGGGTGAATTTTAATGAAAAGATTAGAACTGATCATGAAGAAAAGTACTAAGGGGCCGTTTGAAAATATTTCATTTTCAATTTTTAGTTTTTACTTTTGAGTAGTCAATAAAACAATTTTTAATTTTCATTTTTGAATTGAAAGTAATTACCAACAAGAATTCAACTTTTAAAATGTGAAGAAAAAAAAAACTGAATAAAAACTAAAAACTAAATGGTTATCAAATGACCTCTAAATTTAACTAATTAAATAATTATTTCTTACACCGAGATTAGCAGGAGCGGTGAGGTTTGGGATGACGCCAACGTAACCTCCGATACCCACATAAGGGATCAAATAGGCTGCCAACAGAAAATTGACTGAGTTTGCATAGGGATCGAATGGAGGGACCAGGTTGAAGCCCACTGCTTGGTCAAATACTTTTGCAAAATTCTGACGGCTGAGATTTAGAAGTGGCCTTGGAAATCCTCCTACTCGTGTAAGAATTGCCCTGAAATCCATTGAAATATAGGAGTATTTAATACCACCATGCATGGTTATGATATTAATTAAATGGGTCATGTTATTACATGTGAGAGACCCATTAGTATTAGTATTATTATTAGATAGTGTTTAAACTATAGTGTTAATTTTGTATTTTTTGAAAACATAATTTATAAATTTTCAATTTGAATGAAAATGAAAAGTTTTATCTTAAGGTCGTATGATAATCATTTCGTTGTCATTTTATTTATTTATTTATTTTTTAAACTAAAAATCGAAATCTTGTTAGTTATTATTTTCAGTTTTCAGTGTTCAAAAACATGAAAACTGAATACTACTTTCTTGAGTTTTCAAAATTTGACCTTGTTTTTCCACTTTTTGGTTTTCAGTTTTCATTTTTTTTTTTAAACTAAAAATTAAAAGTAGTTACCAAATAAGATTTCAATTTTTAGTTTTCAAAAAAGTTAAAAGTGAAAGCCAAAACTAAAAACGAAATAGTTATCAAACAACTCTTTAGCCCAACCAATATCTAACTAGAGTATCTTGGGTGAATGGCTACCTGAATACATCTCCTTACCGTGCATGGCTGTGCGGCTAACCAAGCACAAAACAAATGGGCAATGGTACCAGTGAAGAGTCGCTTGGATTGGGTTATTTTGAAGTTTAAAACTATATACTAAGAAAAGATATTTTGTACTGTTTCATAAGGGTTCATATAAGAAAGAGTTCAACAATAGTGGTTTGATAAAATCTTATAATTTGGAATGCTACTATATTGTAAGGATGTGATCGTTTTTTTCTAAAAAATAGGTGATCATCAACGCACTGTAGTAATGCATTAGAAATAACAAAGTTCTTAACTTGATCGTATTTTCAAGTTTTTAACCCATATTCATGTGCGCTTTGACATTGGTTTTAGCCCAAGTGTACGCATAAATTAGTTATTTGATTGCCTGATTATTTCTTGAATTTTCTGTGATTAATATAGAAATTAAACCCTATCTTTCGAAAAACCTGATATGACCAACTTCTTCATAACCGAATTCCTCGATGATAGGGGCGACAAGAGAGTCGAGATTGGCCTTCTGAGCCCCAATGGGAGCCGGACCTCCTTGGGTGAGGCTTGGACTGATTGTGTCGAGCCCTGTGCCAAGAGAACCGTGCAGAAAAAACTCCGCCTCCATGAATTCCAAGTTCAAGGCAAATTGAATCAAATCGTCGTCATTGGCTTCCTGACCTGAAGCAGTCATGGCCTGAAAGCTGAGAAGATTGAATGCAAGAACAAAAAGAAATGCAGTGCTGAAATAATAAGATATTGAACCAGCTGTTGCCATTTCTAATTTCATGCAACCAATATATGAACTATATTTTAACAGTTGTGGATATTACTGAATGAAACATACGTTAGTACTAACCAGCTTATATAGGTCATGGATTCGTGGTACATTAATTTCGTGTGAGAGAGAGAGTACGAGCAAGAGAAAGGATTATAGGTAGTGGATTCGTGGTACCGCAAGAAACTTGGTTGCATTTACTTAGCTCTTTCTCATTCACCCTAGTACTTGTTCTCCTCCTATATTTGCAACTTGCAGTACGATGCATTACAATATGCTTGGGCGATCGAAGGAGCTTGGTAAGTAATTAGATACCCAATTAATTAATGTAGTGATGTAGTAAAATGTTTTAAACTGGTGTGAATTGGGTAATTTTTTTGTTGTGATGATCGGATTATGACATGTGGTGTTAGTACTTTGTGTCTTATAAACTTATAGTATGAATAAAAAGAGAAATGATAATCACACTTTGCTTTCTTTCTTATATATTGTTGAGAGTATCAATTTCACATTGAGAAAAAAAAAATTGCATTTGTTTATAAATAATTAATCAGACTATTTCTTATATTGTCATTTAGTTTTATGGTGGAACCTTAACTTTTTTCATGGTATCAGAGCATGTTGTCTCGTGTGTGAAGGTCAACGGTTAGACATGGTCCACGTTACCCGAATTGTGTTGTCCACGTAATAGGCATGAAAATTTGTGACATGTGCTTCATGTCACCCGATTTATGTTGTCCATTTGTCGATTTAATCACTGAATTATTCCCCATGTGAAAGTCCTTGAACTATTTTTCAAATAAATAAGTCCTCTAAACCCATTAACAACTGACAAATTCATTCTACTAAGTTATTTTATTCAATTTTATAACAATTTATGTCACGTGACACACTTTAAATGACAAGACTATCATTTTCTCGCTCATAAGTCCTTAACGTTACACATAAGTTACGAATTTAACTATTGATCTACCTTAACTCAATACACTATTTTTTTTAATTTTTAAATGTGCCTTTAATTCATTAAAAATTGTCGTTTCAACCCTCCAAATTAAGTATAATAATTAAAGTAATACTCTATAATGGAATAACATCTTTTTAAAGTCATTAAAAATTATGGTTTGAACTTAAGACCAGTTGTGTATTGGAATAAACTTCCTATTGTAATAATGTATAATGTTTCTTGGTCTCGTCTTAAGGAAATATGCATTCATAGATATAAAATTATCAATGAGTACAAAAATATGCAATGTCACAAATAAAAAGTTAAGATATTGCTGCTTGAAGGAGCTTGGTTGATCGTTTAAGTGTCTTAGATATTACTGCTTGTGACACCTTAATACATGACTATCCTCTAACCAATCCAGAAGATCGTTTGCTTCCAATTGGGGTATGCTTTTTTCTTCATAACTTAATAAGAATCTTTTCAGTTAACTGATTTTTCATATTGGCCTTGGGTGCCATGGCTAATCTGATAGATAAAAAAAGGGTATTCAACACCCTTTACATACATAACGAGACCTTGAGAACCAGGGAACAATACCTTGGAGTACAAGTAAAAAAAAGTACATATGTGCAAGAAGTAAAATACTTTGCACCCAAGAAATCCTATTTAGGAGATACAATATTCATTAAAGATAAATAAGTCAATAAATAAAATTCTCTTACTATTATAAAATTAAGTAAGAGTAGTGCTGCTAAACCCATGTCTTTGTTTTATTTCCCCACCCACGCCACCCATCCCACCTGCATCAAATTAAACATTTTTGTTTACAAATTTTCCCTCTTGCAAAATGACCTTGAAGGACCTACATAAAGACTTCTAAATAAAATTAAAATTGAAAATGCTAAAAATAAAAACCCTAATGTCGTGACTAGGGGTGCAACTCGGATGGGTTGGGCGGGTTGGAAGGTCAACCCAATTCTAACCCAACTTTTACAATTCGGGATCGGGTTCGGATTGAGTTTATTTGGGCTCGGGTTTAATCGGGTTTGGATTTACTTGGGTTGGGTTCGGGTTGCCCAACTTTTTCAAGTTTTAATCGGGCATTACCATCGAATTTTAAATCCTATGTTTTTTAAAGCACCCGCACATGCATGTATACATCCACAAAGACATCAATCTATTTGTATTAGCAAACAACTGACCTTAAAATCACTTTCCCTCAAATTTACTTGCTCAATAGCCTGCTTCGTCTGAATCGGCACAAGAAAGCAGCATAAGAAACAATCACAACTCAAACTGTGAAGCAGATCTCAAAGAGAGGTCGAATAGTTGCAATATTAATTTAATAAAGGAAGTTGTTCTACAGGATGTGATATGACAAGCAGAATAAACTTAATATGATTCCTTTCAAGTCAAATTGTATATCATATTAGTAGGTTCTCATGAAGGTGCGAAGGTGCAAAGGTCATTGAGAAGTATGTTGCATAGCTCAACCTAATCGGGTTTGGTTAATCAGGTTGGGTTGGGCAAATGATCAACCCAATCCAACCCAACCCAATCAATAATCAGGTTGGGTTCGGACGGGTTATAACTAAAAAAAAATCCGTTTGTTCAGGTTTAAAGTCGGGTTAAACATGAGCGAGTTCGAGTTAGCCCAACTCAAGTTACACCCCTAGTCGTGACCTCCACAAGCCAACCTTGACGGCAAACCCATCACCAAACCCCCTCGCTCCTGCAGCTCACAAAGAAAGGAAATGAAAGTCGTTAACCCACCCACCACGTTCGAAACCCTACAGACTAAAATGACCATCGCACCTCTGCCTTTCCACGATCATCAACATGCGGCATGAAGATCAGCAACAGAGAAAGTCAGTGGTAGCCTCGTAAATAAAGTGAAATTCGACTCCAAAGACTATTCATTTGTACAATGCAATTGAAAAGCCTTCTTTAGACTAAAGTAATGGTGGGTCGAGAGAGAGTAATTAATTATTTTTACTTGTAATGGTTGGTGGCAAAATAAGTGGAGTGGGAGATAAAGAAAAGAAAGTGGGCATAGGAGCGCTCTTAGAACATCTCAAAAGGAGATGTCAAATTTTGAACATAAAATTTAAATTTTGACAGCTTATGTGGCACTTTGACATCTTTTAAAGTTTTGTTCTCCAACTGATATGTCAAATTAAATTATTATTTTATTATTTTATAAAATAAATTATTAAACTGATTAAAATTTAATAAAGGACATTTAAAGTTTAATCAGTAATATGTTCACCTTCCTTGATTGAAAAGAAGAAAAATGAAGGATAATTGTATCAATCAACTTAACATTAATTATAATAAATGATTAAACTAATTAAAAATCAATAAAATACATTTAATAATTAATTTAAAAAAACATTTGAAGCTGCTATCAAATTTGACAGCAACCTCTTTTGCTGCCAATCTATGTCATCGCCATATAGGATTTGACACTTCGGTTGGAGAATATTAGTGTGATTTTTTTTTACTGTTATAGTTGATGTGTACATTTTGGTACTTTCTTTGGAGATGCTCTTAAGTAATAATCTCCATAAATTTATAAAATAAATTTGATCCCAATTGAAGTTTTTTTGTATATCACGTGCAAATCAAATGACCTAAATTGATAGAAAATTAGATAAAATATCTTCAGATCTTATAGTAAAGATGAAATTTGCGATTATTATTGTTTGGTTTGATTTTAAGGAAAATTAATGAAAATGACTTGAAAACTTTGAGTTTTAATGATAACGACAAAATAAAGGGTAAAGTGAATAGTACTAGGATTGACTTTTTAGTGTAAAAATGTGATTTTTCGTTAAAATGAACAGTATCGAGAGCTTTTCGTTAAAATTCTTTTGATTTTATGAAGCGAATTGACAAAAAGTAAAATAAGATCCGAATGAAGGAAAGTACAAACAGTTTGGTCTGGTCAGCTTTTCGGTTTTGGACGTCAAACTATAGGGAGGGCAGATGGCCAACCCAATTTAATTAGAAAGGTTACTATGCATAGAGTGGTATATCACAGCTATACTAGTAACCAAAGAGAGTCCTAGCTTGCTAGCTAGTAGTAATAATTCCCTTTTGTTAGTCTTTTATGCTCGGTTCGATCATTGGATACCATGTTCGAGTTCACAGATCCGTCAATTGTTCAACAGATTTTAGAAGGCGAGATGAGAAGTTATTTGGCGGTGCTACTTTAAGTATTAGTCAAGAGTTATTTGGTAGTTTCCCTTTGAACTTATTACTTAATAGATTTTAGAGCAAAGTCAGAGTAAATACTAAATTTAATATAGGTGTGAAGGAAACTACCCGCTTGAATACTCGATTTAAACTATGAGTCATATTTCGTCTAACATAGAGGGTTCACTTTTTGTGGTTGTGATTGGAGATGGAGTTTATTGTCTTAATAATGTTAATGAACCCTTTGTGTATTTGTATTACGTACCCTCGTGGCCCTTTGATGCCAAATTATGAAAGCAATCACTTTATTACAAAAGCAAAGTTTTGACTTTTTTTGTTTTTTTTAACAATCGATATTATCTACACTAAGAGAAGAGAGTGATATTAACCTCACAATGGGCTAATAATAATGTGGTTCAAAATCGTCTTTGACGAGAATCAAACCTAAAACCTCTCACCTATCAATGAAAATGAATATCACTAGATCGTAGTACTAAGTGGCTAAAAAGCTTTTGACTCTTAAACATGTGAAAGTAGGCTTTCCTTCTTCTAAACCTCCCGGACCCCCTCATGTGTGAACCCTACCCTACCCTTTAGATGTTCAACCACGATCTATTTTACTAGTTCAACCAAAATACAAAGTTGACACACTTCTCTAAACTATTGTGTTTGGGAATTACTCGATTAACGAGTGCATTAGAACCGTTAGATGTGTGGGGTTAATCTAGTTGCATATTAATATCAAACTCTTTATATTCCCTATAAAGATGAAGAGATATTCTTTGGGATATTTAAGTTTAAATATCAATTTAAAAATAATATAGGGAAGATATTATATTTTAGCCAAGGTGCCAATAAAAAATTCAACCAAAATAGTTTTGTAAATACTA